AGCAAAACCTCGTATACGTGCATATGCAATACCCAGATGAATATGCCGAGATTTGCCTCAATGCGAGTATCAAGCGAATGGTCAAATAATTATTCATCTTCCCTCCGTATGTTTACTTCACAATCATAAGCTGCTATAACAGAATTGCACAAAATCATAGAAGCTCTGCTGAAATCGATTGCCAATATAAACTTGGAACCGGGACTTTACTTTTCAACGGTGATTAGTTAATCTGCAATATTGAATTCCTCTAAAAACTGTCAACAACATTTGGCTAACTCATGGTTCCTGCAGGAACCAGAAGGAAGAGCAATATCTTAACAGGAATAGCTTTGAACGAGCATTTCGACAACACACTGGGAAAAGTGGATCAAAACTTTAGTGTCCGGATTATTCAACACAGGGCCCCGTTTTGACAACAGCTAGTCATAAGCTATTCAACAGTCAACAGTCAACAGCTAGTCAACAGCTATTTCAGCAAATCCTGAGTCGAATCAAAATCAATTTCTCAGAGTTTTTCTTTCGAATGAGTTAGAGAGAAATTCATCAGAGGAGATCGCTAACCATAGCTATTGAATGTGCATGTGTAGGGCAAAATTCTTTGTGATCAGAAATCACAGAATGGCACCGATGGCCAGAAAATGAGGCCTCGCAATCGAAAGAATGCTCCTTGTTTGTGAACCACTGTTTCTCCAAATCGAGATGTCACACATGAAACAGTCTGGAAGCATGATTTAATAGCCCTACTTCAGCCATAAAACACGACCTGCCTTTGCAATGACATATGGCAGGTAGTCAAGGCGGAGACCCAGCGCGAGATGGTTCGAATATTTTGTGCTCCCCGAGTAATGGAATTATCCCATTGACGGACGAACTGGATCGATGACAAGAAACTCAATAAACTGCTTCCTCTGCAACTTGAATAGAATAGCAGGCTTTGAAGAAAAGTGGCTTCGTGAAGGAGATCATGCCAATTGAATTTGCGTACGGCAATTCTCAGTCACTGATGATTCCCACCCACGAGATCAACTGCCGCTACGTTTACAATCATCCTTGAAAGGAAGTGCACACGGATGTATGGGAGCTTTCTCTTTATGGCCAAATTGCCATACCTGCGAATTCCTGTGAGTCTAGCGTTGAATCTGCGCTATAATTTCGCGAAGTTGCTGGTGGTACCTCGTCATCAAGGCAATCTAATGATATTTAAAACAAGATAATCAGCGCGGCATCCTCAACCCCAATTCATATCGCTATTAGCTCTTATTCTGTAAATGCAAATGTGACCGACCTCCGCACGGTTGCAAAGTTTTTTCCCCACTAAGTACTTAGACACCTACGCACTTAATTACAGTCATCCCGCGGACTCCATTTGTCACAATCAGTGCCCATTGCAATTTCGTCCAACAGCTCTCTGATGTCCCGAAAGATCAGCGACTGTGTTGGCCGAGGCATGTACTGACACATCTCATTTGTACTGAACGCAACCGTATCCCTGGGTGG